GTCGTCGAAGATGTCGTCCAGGTCATCGACCACAAGGCCGAACGGGCTCTCTGTCGCCGCTTCGATTTCCGTATACTTCCCGTGCTCGCATTAATGTGTACGTACATCCATCTAGATATTATTTTCTCACCTGCTCATAACTCTAGACCTCTTCAATGCTTTGGATAAAGGCAACCTCAGTAACGCCGAAACCGCCGGCATGAGCGATGGTACACCAGCCCTCGCTCCTTTATCTACCGTCGCTAACATTACCAGATCTTAACTTCAAACCCGGCCAATATAACCTACTCCTATCCATCTTCTACGTCCCATATGTTGTATTTGCGCCCCCATTTGCCATGCTCGGCAAGCGCTGGAGTCCCGCACGCGTATTGCCCGTACTCATGTTCTCTTTTGGCTCATTCACACTGCTCTCGTCTGCGACCAAGAACTTTGGTGGCATGTTCGCTCTGCGCTGGTTCCTCGGCATGTCTGAAGCGGCCTTCTTCCCGCTAGTCATTTACTACCTCACGACCTTCTACCGGCGTGGGGAGCTTGCCCGTCGCCTCGCCATTTTCTACGCAGCCAGCAACATCGCCAACGCCTTCTCCGGCCTACTCGCCTTCGGCGTCTTCCAAATCAAAGACTCCTCACTCCCAGACTGGCGTTACCTCTTCATTCTCGAAGGCGGTGTCACCGTGCTCTTCTCCTGCTTCGCTTTCTGGTATCTTCCTCGCTCTGCCTCGACAGCCTCCTTCCTCAGCGAAGACGAGAAGCTCCTCGCCCACCACCGCATCCAAGTCGACAGTTCCGCCATCGTCGACGAACCCTTCCACCTCCGCTCCGCTCTCGGCATTTTCAAACACCCCTCCACATACGCCTTCCTCGCCATCGAAATCTGTCTTGGTGTGCCCCTGCAGGGGGTCTCCCTTTTCATGCCCCAGATCATTCAACGCCTGGGCTTTTCCACCGTCAAAACAAACCTCTACACCGTGGCCCCTAATGTCACCGGAGCCGCCATGCTCATCGTCCTAGCCTTTGCATCAGACGCCGTTCGCCTCCGGGCCCCATTTATCGTTCTAGGCTTCCTCCTCACTTTTACGGGCTTCATGATCTACGCTGCTATCGACGACGTCGATCGCCAGATCCACCTAGCGTACTTTGCCACCTTCATGATGACCTGGGGTACCTCTGCGCCGTCGGTGCTGCTCTCCACATGGTATAACAACAATATTGCAGATGAGAACAAGCGTGTGCTGTTAACGAGTATTGGTGTGCCGTTGGCGAACCTAATGGGCTTAGTGTCGAGTAATGTCTTCCGGGAGAAAGATAAGCCCAAATATCTGCCTGCCCTCGTCACAGTGGGCGCATTCGGTGGAACTGGTGCTATTCTGGCGGCGCTGTTGGGAGTATATATGCTTGTGGATAATCATCGTAGGGATCGTAAGGAGGGTGTCAGGATGCGGGCGCAGGATGTCCCGACTGAAAGGTTGCGCGACGGACCGGGCGCTGTCGGGTTCCGATGGTTCTTATGATATTTTTCTACGATGTTTACGAGGAATGAATACAGTAAATGAGTATTTCTATTAACTGTTGAGAAGGAGTCTTGTAGAATAGTAAGTAGTAGAGCTCGTGCTCGCTCATTCATGTGAACCAGATGCGACCATCTCCCAAAAGATGGCCTAGGGGTGCCGTGCGAGGTGCATTTCTCATGCCCGGGGACAACATGTACTTCCTGGGGAAGAGTGATAACCTTTTCATTATTGTCAATGACATATCGAGGATAGACTTGCAGGTTAGTCCTCTCAACCAAGCTAGCCAAGTATCTACCAAGTCGGCGGAGTCCATATTGGCTAATGGGCTCATGGCTAATAGAGTCGCTAGTATACAATTTCTATGATTTCTCTCAGGACAGAAACTCCTCGACTGTATAGCAATAAGGTACCTTGATGAAAGATCCTGGAGGCACGTATAACCTCATAATGGATAACATATGAGGTGTACATGTATACTCAGTTACTGAGAGTATAAGGGATTCAAGCTTTCCCATGGGTCGAGCAGGCGCGTATTGGGATACACGCACAACCTTGTTATCATAGATCCAGCGTGCCAGACTGAATCTTCTTGAAGAATCAGCTACTGCATTTGAAGTCGACAACGCCTGCCCTGGAGTTCATCAACAGCGCGACAATCAAGCCGTACAATCCTATGATACCATCCCGCTGCTATCAGCTTCCATCCGTTCCTCAGAGAAACATAGGTCAGAGGTACATACCCAAGACCTCAGCAAAGATTAAAATAAGAATCATGCCCACATAAAGCCTCGACTGTTGCGCGGTCCCTCTCACCCCCGCATCGCCGACAATCCCAATCGCAAACCTGCAATCAATCAGCCAATAACCACTATCTGATATGAAGAGACACTCTCAAATAGAAATTACTTACCCAGCAGCCAGTCCGCAAAGCCCAACCGCCAGTCCGGCGCCCAGCTGAAGCAGACTAGTGTACAGAGCCATCTCCTGCGCGAGGTTGTTGGCAATCAGTACTGAAACAACGAGACCGTAGATGCCTAGGATGCCGGCCATAACGATGGGAACGATGTCTTCGACTGATTAGCTCATGGAACACTACATGCAGGGTAGTATAGGTGGAATATTACTTTTGACGATCAAGTCTGGCCTCAGGACACCTGATGAGCAAACGCCCACCCCGGCCTTTGCGGTTCCGTAGGCTGCCCCGATGCTCGTGAATACAATGGCGCTTGTACAGCCGAGGACTCCGAAGAGAGGCTTTGAAGGTTAGAAGATGTCTTTGTTTGCTTTGATTATAGTCGGCAGGTACTCACCCCATAGCTGGGACTAGATATTGGTGCCGTTAGCTACTCCTTTAGGTAGATAAACACGCAAGACTACTTTGGGATCCTGACCAGAACTCCGATAGCATCGTTTCTTCACTTTCCCTCGTTCTCGGCGCTAGACTGGTGTAAATGTAGGATTTGGCTGATGCTACGAAACAAAACAGTCGGTGGAGACTAGGCAGGCAGCTTTATACCTTTCACCAAGTCTAAGCCAAGCTAAACATATGTCAGAAGACCCTTTGCCCGGACCTATTGGGCCTACACCGTTGACATTTAAAAGCCAGTTCCTCGGCCAATGGAGCTAGTTCTCTACTCCCAATAGGCGGCATTTGTCGGGAGCCTAGGGCTCCCGAAAGGACAGTATACCACCTACATAAGCACATTTGATAGGCATGGTGATCGCTTTTCATTTTAATCCTGGTATTATTCCGGAGGGCTGTATACTACTGGTTCGAGGGCGCAGGCAACCATAATCCTGATCGAGCGGATGTTCCCGATCGAGGTGGGGGATGTCTCACTTGGGTTGACCAGTGACCACTCAGAAAAGCTGGTACTTTCGTACTTTCGCCGAGTCATGGAACCAACGGTCTTCCGGGCCCAAGTTGGGGGAAAAGATCGTGGCTCTGCACTAGGGCAGCCTTATGGCTGAGATGGGTTGTCCACCTGGTCAATGCTGCCCTTCCTGGGATACGATATGGACCGGCTGTTTGAGGCAGACGGGCGCGTAAATACTAGAATGTTGGCACCATATAGCTCAGAAGCAGAATGTATGTAGACTATCTACCTAGAAAGTCACGAGGCTCTTTTAATGTTTCAGTATTCTCAACTTCCATCTATTTACCTCTACAGTTCTAGTAGACTGACTGCTCGGGTTTTCTCAGGGCGGAATGCCCCACTTTATCTGCCTGAAAGAGATAAATCTTCCAGTCGTTGTTCGATGAGGACTGACCCCGCCGTGCACAGGCCTATATCTAAATGCCTAGCGACTACTGAATGACACGTTGGCTATACTGCTGGAGTACCCTGGATGGGGCTGAGACTGCGCCGGTCTGTCAGGGTATATTTGTTGTTGCCTAGCCTAGTAATCGTGGCCTAGCCATTTCATATTTACTCGTGTATATTCCTGCTGTTCTGTCACTTCATCTTGCCATTTCTTGAAGGGAGCATTGCATCGTGTTGATAATGTGATATAAGGTGGATGGTATAGTTGTATTGCCTACCAGCCACATGCGATCATAAGCTTGCTTCATGGTTGGGTTTGTGAATCCCCTTAGAGAACGGCGTTCTTTTCAATTGCCTCTCTACTCGATATTTTGAATGGGCTGAGCAAAATTAACTACTCTCCTAACGAAGCTTATGCTGAACAGGATGAATGAGTAGGATACTTGTTTGGGGTCTTTATTTTTGTCGCTATGAAATACTTCGTATCTACCGTAGCAAGCTGGCCATATCCGATAATTGACTCTGGCGATGTCTTGAATGTCGTATAAGATACTAAAATTTTGTAGCCTATGGGCCTTTTAAGGCCGGCTTGCGATCCAGAATTCGGACAAATGAAGGAACATGTGATTAAGAATCAAAATGTCTGTCGTAAATCCGGTCCTATGCTCTATCTCCGCTCATGTCCTCTTGGCGGATAATATCCGGTGTCATCACGCGGGCTACTTTCCACTGACGGTCAATTGAGGTTTAGGGAAACGATTTGGCAAAAGTTCTTCTAGTGGATGAAAGAATTACAGAAATCGCCAAAGCTACAAGAAGGAACTATTGATTGGGAGATCTCGCCTATCACTTACCTGATCGATTTAGAAATGGGCCCATTTCTTCGGTGCGTCCCTGTGTTTAGCTCCCGCGATTTGCTTATTATACGTCATTGGATGTGGGGATTATGTTTCATTGGTCACGATCGCTCTATACCTAGATTTTAGATGTGTAAGGTCTTCAAGGGGTTTCTGAATTTCACCTCCTGCTAGTGGCTTATCATATGTCATTAGGTATAGACATCATGTTGCGTTTCTCACAATCACTCTGGCATTCTGACTTTGCCTGGATTAGCAGTGTAAGCAAGTCAACAGGAACCCAGTCCATTCAGGGGATAAATACCACTACTCCCCTGGGTTATTTCCAACCCATTCACTTCCATTCATCTCGAAAAGCTACCATCATGTCTTTACCTGTTCACCCTATGCCTCGCTCGCCCCTTGACCGCCATCGCCAGTTGGCTCCGTCTGCGGCGGTCAGGGTTTCTCCACTCTGTCTTGGCACCATGAACTTTGGAGACGCATGGAAGGACTGGCTTGGCGAATGTCCGAAAGAGACTGCATTTGGAGTTCTCGATTACTTCTTCAGTCAAGGCGGCAACTTCATCGATACCGCCAGCAACTACCAGAACGAAGAGTCTGAGAAATGGATCGGGGAGTGGATAGCCGAAAGACAAAACCGCGATGAACTCGTTCTCGCCACCAAGTTCTCCAGCAGCTACAAGAACCATGAAAATGGCAGACTTCAGTCAAACTATGGCGGCAATAGCGCCAAGTCTATTCGTGTCTCTTTGGAATCCTCATTGCAGAAACTACAAACGAGCTACATCGACCTCTTCTACCTTCACTGGTGGGATTACTCCGTTTCGATTCCCGAATTGATGCATAGCCTCAACGATCTGGTCGCCAGCGGCAAGGTTCTCTATCTCGGGATTTCTGATAGCCCTGCCTGGGTAGTTGCCAAGGCCAACCAATACGCTCGTGACCACGGCTTACGCCAGTTCACCGTGTACCAAGGTCTTTGGAACGCCTCAATCCGCGACTTCGAACGAGAGATCCTTCCAATGTGCCGCGATGAGAATATGGGATTGATTCCTTGGGGCGCCCTCGGACAAGGTCAGTTTCATACAGAAGCAGGATACAGAGAGCGGGAGCAGACGAACCCCGGGCGCAAGGGACGGCCGGCATTTGATGTTGAGAAACGTGTGGCTAGGACTCTAGAGACAATTGCGGATTCGAAGAAGACGGATCTCACCAGTGTTGCTTTGGCGTATGTCCGCCACAAAGCCCCTTATGTGTTCCCGGTCGTTGGTGGGCGGAAGGTCGAGCATCTGCGGAAGAACATTGCTGCACTAGAACTATCCCTCAGTGTCCAGGAGGTGAACCAGATTGAGGCATCTTATGAGTTTGATCATGGCTTCCCTCATACCTTCCTCAGCGGCTCCCTTCTTGATGGTAGCACTCCGCGGGCTCCCAAAGGTCCTGGAGACGTGTGGCTGACGAAGTTGATGGGAAACTTTGATTGGGTGGAGTCAGAGAGGCCGATTGAGTGTACTAAATCTGCTTAGTTCTGCTGCTAGTTGGCTTTCGAGACAAAGACAAGACTATTTACACTTATAGTACAATAGATTTAGGCATTGTATGCTGCAACTTGCACTGTATGCTATGAAAGATGTTATAAACTGTCTGCAATGATTGAGCAAAGGCAAAGTTAGACTGACTAGGAGGCTTCTCAAAGAATGCAAACCTATTATCAATGCTGGATGCTGGTAGAGATCATTTTGTCCCGAAGTACGGCTGTGGACGTCATATTGGAATCTAAATTACCCAAAGATACTTCTGTGACTTTATTAACTTTCACTCTCATATAAATTTGATAATCTATAGGGTTTGAAACTGATTGTGTGGTGGTACATTGGCTATAATTATATAGAAATCTCTTAGATCTTTGATACTACGTACAAATGCGTGGAATTGGATAAAAATATATTTTCTACGTTCCGTTTATCAGAATATAACTGTACGAAATTACACACTAGAGAGCCCTGATAAAATCCGATTCGTAGAGAAGTAATGCTCGGCCACTTGGCTTCAATAGTATCTATTTAAGGAATAATATATTCAATTGGGCCTTCGTTCCACGCGGTGCGGGAGCCCGCACATGACAAGTTTTGAAGCCCCGAGCAGCCCCAGGGCTAAGATCAAGTACCTGGTAGCAGAGCTAAACAGACGCGTTGAAAAAATCGACGAGCCTGGGTAACGTCACAGTTGTATTGTCATACAGATCGAAATGAGTGGCATTGGGTACCACAAATTCTTCCTTGGGCTCCAGAGCATTTGCGTACGCTCGCCGCGAGAAATACCCGGTATCTGCACGAGATCCGTACATAATCAGGACAGGCCGCGGGGAAAGAAGCCGCATGTTGTCAAATGAATCGTAGACAGCCATCAATTCCTGGCTTCGAGCAACGTATACATTGGGGGCACGAGGATGCATGCCACGGGAGGTGCGATAATAGTCATACGCCTCTCGGAACATCAAAGGTAGATCTGGAGTGACTTCTGCAGGACTCATGGGGGCACTGAACACCAGCTCAACACCACCGGTGGCTGTTTCCCGCGTTCGCTGCTCACTTGCCACAGTGAACAGATCATTGAGGGCGGTCAAGTTCACTTCACCACCACCAAAAGGCTCACGATGGTATTGACCCACATCAAAGGCACTCACAGTCGCCAACGCCTTGATACGCTTGTCGGCCTGAGCAGCGTAGGATACGTAGCCTCCTGAAGCACATATACCCAGACCAGCAATTCGTTCGGGGTCCACGAGTCCGGAGAGAGTGGTAAGATAGGAGACAGCATTCTTCACATCTTCGGTCCTCTGGTGCGGGTCCTCGAGATAGCGAGGCAGTCCATCGCTCTCTCCCTGGTATGCTGCGTCGAAAGCTAAAGTCACAAAGCCATGTTCTGCCAAGCCTTCGGCATAAAGACCAGCAGTTTGCTCTTTCACCCCAGTCCAGGGATGGCCGACAACAACAGCAGGCAGGGATGCATTGGTGGTGGGCAAGTCAACACTGTTGGGTAGAAACAAATTTCCAACTACATTGATACCGTTGCTGTCGAACTCAACTCGGTGGGGGGTGGCCGCCTCACTGCGATGGATGGTGGCGAGAAGTGGTATCAAAACGGTCAACAACATCATGATAGTTCAGTTGGCCAAGTCAAGCAATGAGAACAAGAACAAAGGGAAGAGTCTGGGATTCGCAGACTGGCTCAGGAGGTTAATGAATGACAAAATGAGTTGGTTGGATGAAGGCTGCTGAAGCCATGTGCAACTACACGAGTATATATACTACAATGTCGTATTACTCTCTCCACATTCAATGCATGATTTCGTCCATACCCCGGCAGGGAGTATCTCGAAACCTATCGGCTGAGAACCACCCATAAGCCGCCAAGCCTCGCTACGAGTATACTACTCAGACAAACGGTACAGTGGTAACATGGTCCCCTAATAACCGATATTGAGGCGTTTCCGTCTGTAGATACTGGGAAACTGTGACGTGTAATAAGCAACAATGCTGCTGCTAGTGCCAAGAAATATGCCGACAAAGGCAATTCAGCATTGACTCTTGGCGGTACATGATCCAAAGTCGAGCATGCGAAGGCCAAGTAAATTTTGGTCCTCAGGGATTGAAGACTGAGTGGGGAAAATTTAGACTTCTACTGTTTTGGTTATGCGACCTGCTTACCATATGTCATAGGTCTCCATATTTGTTCAGTCGTTCTCCACTCGGCTTACAGCTCGGCGTTGCCTTGAGTTAACTCCGTGTGGTCTAACACTAAAAACGGGACCACTTCTCTCGATCCTAACCACGATGAGATCTTCTGTTTTGACAAGAAAGTGCATATTTGCGGCATACTGATGATGGATATATTCTAGTCATATGCTTAACTTATTTCAAGAAATGAGACACCCCGATGAAATACTCTAAAACCCCAACACGTATAAGCCTTGTTATAGGCTCATCGTGGTCTAAAATTGAATGAGATTTTGCCAAGAACATTCTCGGCGTGGTCTAAAGTAGGCAGTAAAATGATTGGCAGAATGTTAGACCACGCTCACCCTTTTTCAGACCACGATGAGCTGTGACATTATTTGGTCGGTCGGTTAACTGCTTGGGATGAGTAATCATAGGATACCCTACCATGACCGGTTGATAAGGTTACGGAATTTCTCCTGGTCATGTGAAGCACTTTCGAAATCATTCCTGCATAAATATGGCCAACAGTACCAATTTATCCCATGGAGACCGGGTGGGCTGCACGCCGGGGCTGCCTGAAGTGCGTTCGGCTGAGGAAGATTGGACTGGTCTGACGGACCCAGCGCTTCGGCGAAAACTGCAGAATCGATTGAACCAGAGAATCTACCGTATGCCCATTGTTATCAGTTGGTGTGGCGGTATGCTGACCTTGGACTGGCCACTCAGGTCAACGAAGAAGAGCAAAGCCTGCTGCAAATACCTCTGAATTGGACATAAATCCAGCCACAACAGAGAGAGCAGGGAACTCGCTAGCGTCGGAAGATCAGTGTGAAAGGATAGAACAGGAACGCACCAATGCAGTTGCAAGCAGAGAAGAAAGTGAGGACGCTTTAGCTTCGCCTAAATCTAGTATCCAACCACCAACATCGATACATCAGATGAGTCGGGCGGAGATCCTACAGATCATGGCGCAGTACGAGGCGAAGGCGCGTAAAGATTACGCATTAGGCTCTCCAAGAGTCGATCAACTCCTGACTTTGATCCAATTTAATGTTTTTCGGGCCCTTGTGGATAACACATCCGCGCTAGGATTCACTATGGACTGGCTGGATGAAGAAGCCATGTCCCCATGGTGTGCAAGTGTATCTGACTGTCGAATCAGACTTTGCCCAATCAGTCTACGCCCTACTTCATTACAAAAGGAAATTCCCCACCATCCGTGGATAGACCTTTTCCCAATCCCCAAAATGAGGGATAATTTGCTACAGAGATATGGAAACTTCGATGAAGCTGCTCTTTGCAATGACCTTGTTGATTTCTATGACGTTACAAACGACGAGACATGTCTGATTGTGTGGACAACACCATGGCATCCGACGGGGTGGGAAGTCAGTGAGACCTTTTTGCGTAAATGGAACTGGGTTCTCAGAGGGTGTGACGATCTGGCCAAATCAACTAATTATTGGCGAAGATTACGCGGAGAAGAGCCCTTGAATTTCGATTATGGCCTGCAATAAGCTAATATGAACACCTTACATACCCTGACCATGAATGAGCCGGTGTCATTATTGAGAAAATCGGGTCAATTTCTGATTTACGGTTAGCCATCATTGGTAGTTTATAGTGGCGCTTTATAATTGTAGCCAATGTCTCTAGATATCCACAGTCGTTCCCGGGCTCTAGCTCCACTACTCTGCTTATCATCCGTTCTGAAATATGGGACCATGTACTGTTGTTTCCAACGTTCCGGCATTCAAGCTCACCTAGAACTTCGTAGACTGATAGTGACAGCCAGATAGCGCGATGTCAAAAGGCTCGGGTGTCTCATAAAAGTGCACCAATCTCAGGTCCCTTTGGACAGCCATTCCATTTATATTGACGAGCCATCCAGTAAACTACTATCATACTACTTCCCGCTCACCCTACCCAGAGGCAACCTGGTCGTTGCTTAATATCCTTAAACGTACCGATCTACAAAAAAAGGACCTTCTTCTCAGCATGAAAATAATAAGTCTAATAGTTCAAGAAACTTACAGTACGCATGGCCCTCAAGGCTTCCGTGCTTGCATGCTTTCGGACTGTGCGCTTATCTATGTGAGTCAATCTTCTGTTCCTTCATTTTCCCCATAGCCACCCTCCCTGCGGCCATTGATTGAACTTCTGTAGACAACAGTCTGGCGCTCACGGTCACTGAATACGTCTCTCCTGCACGTCAATAATTGTCTAAGAATTCTTAATGATGGTCCCTTAGGGTAATACACAAGAACCAAAGAAACATAACGAAAAATAATCCTTTCTAATGGGAACCAGCCATGATAGTACGAAAGAACGCCAAAACCTTGACACAAAATGCATGCAATGCACAATATCCAGCAAACCACCGCACATTCATTCCTAATTTCGAGGACAAAACTCCAGATATGGTCCCTTCTTCGCAGCAGTCAAATGATCATAAAGCTGATACTCATCAAGCCGATGCCGGCCAAACTCAGCGCCCACCTTCCCCTCCCCAATCTTCCCCAAATCCCCCTCTGGAAGGCGGATATCAAACTCCCAAAGCACCTTCGCCAACACAAGATGGAGCTCCACATAAGCGAGACTCTTACCAATGCAACTTCGAGGCCCGATTGAGAAAGGATTGAACGCTGATCGTGCGCGTCCAACATCCCCTTGTACCGAGCGACACTCGTCCGCGATCCACCGCTCGGGCTGGAAGCAGAACGGCTCAGGATAATAAGCTGGATTGTGATGAATGCTGTAGATGCACGTTCCCACATCCACACCAGGGGGGATATACTGTCCGTCCACAGTAGCTCCTGCTTCCTCGGCCTCACGCCACAGCGATCCAGCCGCTGATGGGGACATGCGCATGCTCTCGTCAATGCAGGCACGCAGAAATACGCATTGGTTCATTTGTTGGCCCATGCGGATCTCATTTGGGGAAGTAAAGATACTGCGGACCTCATTCGCTGCGCGCTCGTAGGCTGCCCTGTTATGCGATAGGTAGAAGAAGCAGGCTGCCATCGCGGTAGAGGAGGTGTCGGTTCCCGCGACAATCAGCGTCGCGCTCTCGCCGCCTAGTTCTCGGTTGCGTAGAGGAAGGCCAGTCTCCGGGTCTTTGGCTTTTGCGAGGAGCGCGAAGACACCCTTGCCTGTCTTGGAGGCTGCTTCGATGCCTTGGGTGAGCATCACCTCGACAAAGCTGATGAACGTGTTCCTGGCCTTGATGGCTTCGGGGAAGAGGTATTTGTCGAGACGGAAAATGCTGAGCTCGGGCGCTTGAGCTAGGGTTCCGACTCGGACGTTGGACTTCTCGATCACCTCCGGTACGAAGCGGAATGTGGGGTCACGCAGGGTTGACCAGGGGCAATCGAAGATAATGTTGCTCATGACGTCGAAGGCGAGGTAGTCGGCTGGAAAATATGGTTCTGTGTTAGTTTCATTGGACGTTAGGGTTATCTCAGTGGGAAGCACATACTCATTCGGCCCATATTTTTCGGTGTAGACCAGGTGTCTGCTGGCACCGGCTTACCTCCCTCTCCTGCCTTCAGCTGGTTGCAGAGGTGCTTTATTTGCTCCAGGATGACAACCTCGTGGTTTTTGAGTGCGGAATCCGAGAAGCCCTGGCTGATGACTCTTCGCTTTTTGCCATGCTTCTTCTTGTCAATCACGGTCAATGTGTTCGGGGCCCGATGCACCATGGCGGCATAGCGTTGGGCCTTTTTGAAGTTCTTCCCATGGCTGTATATGTCGTGAAGTCCGTCGGCAGTGTTGACAAGGAGGCTATTAGGTCCATATCGGACAAAGTCACCTAAGAGCCGAGAGATCCTCACGTTAGTACTCCAAAGTTCGTATGCCATTAATAGTCGGAGATACTCACCGTACTTCTCGTGGCATCTCCACATGTCAAGATGCAGGTCCCCGCGCCATGCATGATAACCGGCATACAAAGTGGTGATCTTTGCCAGCCAGGGACCGGGATACTTGGCTAAGGGGTGAAAGAAAAGTCGAGAAATGCAAAGTCCAGCTGCCTATGAATCTCGAATGTTAGCAATTTTGTTCATATGTTATAGGGTGGGGGGAGATGGGGAGACGAACGCTGCAGCTCAAAGCTATGAGACCCAGTAGGAGTCCCTTGAGGGCGAAATTTGATAAGATTTGTGAGTCGATCATACTTTTCACACACCCTCACTTTTCAATGATAGATCAAAAAATTCAGAAGTACTTTGATGGAAGAAGAAACTACACCGGTCTCCCTCTCTCAACTTATGCTGGCGATTGACGACGCCATGGGCAGCAGGAACAGCTGTAGGATTGAACCGCTGATCGAACACGAGGTCAGACAGTCTAAATTTGCAATGCGCAGTTTCATCTTGTCTGAGACATTGGTAGCTGAGCCATGGTGGTAAGGCTGTCCAGTTGGGCTCGGAAGCAAGCAGTTGGTGTAGCATAGCCTTGTAGCAGAGAACAATGGCCCGTTCGAGTAGCATACATTATTACCTCAAATGATATCATCGTTATTAACCAAATACAGCCCTACTGGGCCCTTGAGTGAGACATAACAGCCAGCTAGATGATGATTGGCTTCCTTCCCCAGCTATGTACATTCTAGAAACGTCATGGCGGACTCGGACTGCTTACTATGATTACTATGCAAACCCAAGATCATCTTAACTTACTCTACTGGCCTACAAACCACCGGAGGATTGCATGGTAGATCTGAGCCCACCGTCCTCTAAGCCATCAGGGATCCCCCACAGATCCACAATAACGTGGCAAAAGGAGGGGCGATCTAAGCTGCATCATAGATGCTGACAGCATTGACAGTATCAGAACAGACAATTTAAAGGGAAAGTCACGTGTATTTACTATTGCAGCCCAGCAGGAAACGAGGATAACTTGGAAAAGAGTTGACTTTCTCATTTTCAAGATGGAACAGCCCACACCGTCAAATTCCAGGCCTCACTGTGTTCATCTCACAAGCGGCATCTGTGGTGCTATGATGTATTCTTAGCTCCTGAAGACCTCCGGTAGTTCAATCCAAACACTTATTTTTGTCTATGTTACATTAGCAGGAACAGGATCACCACGTGGCAGTGTAGGTACATTAGCTCGTTTCAGTTCGGTGTGCCACTCGTTCGAAGTTGTAGTTTTGCTCTTCAGTATTGGGTGTTCGTCACTGATCTAAGCCAGCAGATGTGCAATGCAGGTTCTGTCTTAGGTCAGGCACACATACATTGAAAGATCTGTCTGTTCATTGCCTATTTCGGATGGGTTGTTGATATAGTAATAAATAGTAATAACCATGATGATGCTCATGAGCATCGTTTACACAGAGGTTACGCCATCTCTTTGCAAGCCATGTCTCTAAGAGGAAGGCGAGTGGGATCTAGAGTTGTCGCATCTGTTCTTCTTCGTCTCATCTATCACCCTGTATGGGTGACTTTAGTTTCGTGGAGACGCAACACATGATCCTGCATTACCGTTTTTATCGCCCCTTGTGTGCCTGGCCGTGAGATACGAGGAAGGTTTAACACTTCAGATTGCCTTTAGAATTCCAGTAGTATGCAGGAAATAGTGGATCTTGTTTGTATCATTATCAATTTGCAAGATACTCTCGTAGTGAGAACTGGATACATGTCGGAGATATTGAGAGATTATCCTTTAGATAATGACGGTTGACTCATCCGTGCTATCGATGTTCCGTTCTTCTACAATCAAGGTTAGAATATTTATTTGTAACTGTCACAAATAGCAAACTATCATGAAACAACTTTCTATAAACACTAATGCTCTATCAAAGTAACATGTAGATATATCCCCGAAATCACACCACCTCCACGACGCCTTAACAGGAAATCAGTTCATTGTCGTCATTTTACATAATTACACTAGCAACTCCGTATCTCTCCTCATAACAGTGGCCACTGAGAATGTCATTCGTTAGATGTAAATTAGATGAAGAAGGACTTAATTCCAGACTCACCTTCTGAAGCACATCCCCCAAGACCGGACTCTTGGTCAACTGCATGATACCCTGGATATACTCCCTGGAGAGCTCAAATGGCTTGGCGACCAGATTAGGGATGTACCTTCCAATCAGTCGATCCGGATCGACCATGGGCTCAGATATGTGCTTGTGAAGCAGGTAGCGGAAGGAGTCCACTCCAGGGCGGAGCAGACTACTGTGGAAAGGCACATTGACATTCAGCGGAATTGTGGCTCGCCCGCGTTGCAAAACTATCCGCTTCTTCGTTGCTGTGACTGTGGCCTCCAGTCGTGCGAGGGTCTTCTGGATGAATTTCTGCACCTCCTCAACAGCGGTAAGACTCAAGACTCCAGATGCGATAGCATCGAGCAACTCTGAGAGGGTGGCGAGTGCACGAAGCTGTAAATCAAATGTTAGTTGCTATTCCAGTATCATGTTTCCCCACGCCGAGGCCCCTAATGGGGTAATGGATAAAAACTCACATCTCCTGCGCAGACGTATTGCATATTGGCAACATTGTAATTGACA